ATGCCTCTATCACTGGTAAAAAAATCAGCACGTTTGCTCGAGCCGTAATGGAGATATTCGAATTTCTTATCGCACAGTTATTTATGGACCACCCTGTATTTATTAGATGAACTGCTATTTAATAAAAATGAAACAATATATTTGAATAAGTAGGTGCTTTCTAGGAAGTTGTTTTTTTTTATACCAGACGTGCAGTATTTAAAAGAGGGTCGATGAAACTGGATAGAGGAACGAGGGGTGAAAAAATGCGATTTTTGTTTGGACGTTTGTTATGAATTGATCCCTTATATTCAATGTATAATTTGTTTTTTTCCTAGTCGACGATCTTTTCATAATGATTTAATTGTTTATCGTTTTAAAAATATTTATAGAGTAACATCATATAAGATCTTTTCTCTTCGGTCACCCATTGTTAATCGAACTAATTATCGCTGGCCAAAAATTGATATATTTACATATGCAGAAAATTCAACACATATATATGCATATCCAAAACATCACCATAACCTTGGTACAATGAATTTTATAGCTAAAAGCAATGTTGACCCTATTTATTTGCGCATATTAGGTCCATTACTTGTACCCATTCCACGTGATCTTCATTTATCACTAAAAGCAATGATTAAATTAGGTCGTTCAAATGTATTTTATGCTTGTGAAGGAAATACATTTTTACATCGATATAATCGTGGTCCAACAGAAACTTGGCGTGTACCATGTAAAGAATTACATAATTCATATCCATTTGTTAAAAGTGTACGTAATATTTCAACAAGTTTATGTTTTGAAGAACTTAAATTTCCCCATTTAAATCAAAGTCTCAGTTTATATAAATATCGATGCGAAGAAGATTTACAAAGGACATTATAGTAATATTTTTTTTTGTTATGCGCCTTTTATTAATATTGCTTCGTTTTATATTCAACAATAGATTTTAGTAAATGAAACAAAGATTTTCAGTAAAGAAACTAGATAGCAGCATCCTGATACAACTCGAAATCCGATGCAAAGATTCTTTCAATATCAATTATCGAAAAATTGATGCTTCTTTACAAGCCAAATAAATCATTTTTATGATTGACTACGGAATGTTTTTCTCGAACGGATTATTACACTTTACGAAAATGAATTTTTATTTTTATTATACTGATGTACTCAGAAACGTTATGGTTTTGTCAATTAGTTGATCAAGCTCGAACACAGATTGAAAAGTAGATATGACGAAATTATTTACTAAAAGAACTCAGTCAATTCGTATAATCCATTATCTATTATCAACTCTTACAGAGTTCGTATAATTTCGACTACTTTGCCAGGTTTATTGAGAAACGAACGCAATCTCTTTTTGTATTTCTGATATTTGATATCATTCATATGATCTTGAATGTCTATTCTCGAGATTATCGTAACACACAATAGAAACTTACGAAGCATAATTATGTCGAGCAAGAAAACCAGATGGCAATTCGACGAAATCAAAAGTATGAATTAATGTGCGAGACACTCTATTCTAGATTCTTGAACTACGCATATTTTATGTATTTCGAAAACTTTTTTATACCTAAAGACCTTTACTCTCTTAGTGTATGCTGTTTTGTTTTTCTCCTCCATTCTGTTGGATTAAAAAGAAATGTTTTATTATGGCTCATTAGTCATAAACACAAAAGATCATTTCAAATAAATATATCAATGAAACTATCACCGAGCCACAATATAAATGTTTCGCACCTGAAAACAGTCCTATCGATGTGCATGAATGCTGTAGTGTGTATCACATTATTTCACTGTAAATATCTAGCAATAAGTATATGGGAAATTCAGAGGGTGTGGGTATGGGTCCCGATGATGAAAATAACCGCACTCATACCCGTGCCAACACCCGCACTTGCACCCACACCCATTCCCACACCTGTACCCACAGCCACAGCAACAGTGACACACACCCATACCCACCCACACCCACACCTACACTCACACCCACACCCACACCTACACTCACACCCACACCCACACCTACACTCACACCCACACCCACACCCACACCTACACTCACACCCACACCCACACCTACACTCACACCCACACCTACACTCACACCCACACCCTCGAACTGAAATTTTTAGCAAACATACACTGTATAATAAGTAGTCGATTGACATAACTTTCAGTTCAAATTTTCCTACTCTAAAAATCTTTACATGCGACACTTCTATAAATCAATTATCATTGTATGATTCAAAAGCACATGTCGATATTTTGAGCAAAAATGAGTCTGGACCCTTGAGAAATAGCATTATTTTGTCACCAAACGATTCTTCGTGAAATTCTGCATTAGATTAGTGATAAACGTTGGGAAACTGAACATGTCCCAAAAATCGCTCTTATGCGAGCTTATGTTTGGTATTAGATGTTTGTCGATGACATTCAAAACACACGGTAAACTCTTTTTCAATTCTTTTTCATTTTGTGATGCTCAATTTTCATTAGCCGTTCGAACTTATCCTCAACGAGCGTGTAAATTGATGAGAATGCATGTGTCTGTGGATGGATGGGTAGGTGAGTTGGTCTGATTAATGGGGCCAAGCACTCACATTCACTCACACCAACATTTACACTCGTTCACGAATTGTTGCGAATTCCTCTCTTTTCCATTCAATCCACGGCTACTTCACTTTTCTTTTGCTAGGGCCAAAACCTTAGCAATATTTTCAAACTCTTTGCAAAAAATTCTGTTTCTGTGGAAATAATCTAATACGACTTTTGATAGCGTTGCTGTTGCGATGAAGTAACCATAGTAATTCAGAATTTAATTGTTTCTCTTTTCTTTCTGTGCGTGCTCTGAGATTGTTTTGCTCACTGACACTGCTTGGGCGCTCTCTCTGCATTCGATTCCAAAACTGCACAAGTTGTGTACATATATCGCGCATGTATAGAAGCTGTGGATTTTGTTTTGTTTTAATTTTGACAAAATGCTGAGCATAGTTCCATATTCATCTTTCTTTTTCTTGTTTAGGCATGCGTG